TACAAATGTTCCTCTAAAATGCTGTTCAAGCTACTGTGCATACCCTAATACAAAGTAATAAAAAAGTGTGAGCATGTTCATGGTTATGTTAGTTTTCATAGCTCATACACAATAGACAGAAATGAAAAATGTGTGTCCATGTTCACGAATCACTCGATCAAAATGTCGGGACTATTTGATGATCTGCTGTCTCCACAGACACGTGTCAATCACGTTGCTCCCCGCTGTCATCCTCATTTCATGTCGTTTGAATATGAGAGGAAGAGACAGTTCAAAACCTCAAAGAATATGAAATCCATACTAAATATGGAGACATCCGAGGTCAGCAGCGCTGCAGACTGAAGAGACAGAATGTCTTGTAACTGAAAAGGTCACGGGTTGAGCCCATGTGTCAAGTTTAAACACCCTTGTGTGAAAACACTCGACCCCTTCTTCCTCACTCGCTGTCAGATATTCTCCGTAGGAGAGTCAGCAAAAATGCAAATTGGTCGGTTTATGGAGCCTCTTTGGCCGGCTGTTGGTCTGTCAGTCAGAACAGCAGCAGCTCGGAGGTTCAAGAGACTTCTGACTGAAAAATGAACAGACACACTCGCCTCAACGGCTACGGAGTAACTCTTGAGTAGGCCGGTTAAAGCGAAACGTTATTAATGTTATCTCTATACACTTTTTGGGTTGACACACTGAGCAGCTACTGTTGTCTCTAAAGAAAAGGACCCAAAGTCTGCTGAAAGTGCAAGAACAACATCCCTTTCATCAGTCCTGTGCGTCACCAACACAACATGCTCACATGAAAGTGCACAAGCTAAATATTGGCCTATTAACGGGAGCATCTCTCTGAATATCCTGTGAAAAAATGAGGCTTAGCAAACGGTGCTAAAGCTAGCTACAGATGTCCATCCTCAAAAAATTAAAAAGTGTTAGCTTCTATGAATGCAGGTATGATATGGGGCTGCAGCTTGCACCGAGCCTCTTCAGCATGTGACTGTAAAGAAAAATAATTCACATTTCAGACGCTAAACATTGAACTTGAATTTGTTGAAGTTGCACCCATCTGTGGCTAAACATGTTAGCTTCACGCCTCACATGAAGAGAGGCTCTGAACGGCGTCGGCACTATTTTAATACTTATTCCTCCGACACAAAAGCTAAATGTAAGACCCCCCATCACACAGAGGGAGTAATCACCCTCTGGCCCTCATCCCTCTCCATAGCATCCTCATGGTCAATCTGCCGAATGGAGAAATCACCCCCCCGCCAGATTACAGCGCTGGGTGGCCGGGATTAGGTTTTAAACAGCAGCAGGACTCTCTCTCTCTCTCACACACACATTCTCTCGCACACTCTCAATATTGTTCAGTTTTACTCTAAACAGTTAAAATGTATATAATTAAAACAATGTATTTAGCAAATGTCTGGCCTGCTAGAAGGCTCTACTTTGTTTCAATAGTAATTATAATTTGTGTGTCTTACATTGATAAAAGTTGAATCATTAATATTGTGTTGTTTTATACTTTCCTTTTAATTGCTGCATGTATTGCAGGAGACGAGATGACGTACTTTGTTGGACACGTTACAAAAGATACAAATCCAACCTGAAAATTAACACGAAATGTTTGTGTGGAAACTATTTTTGTCTTTATAAGAGAAAAGATCCGAGAGGGATGAAAGGAGACGACGTCACTATTTATTCTTCCACAATAGCTTGATAAGCCTGTGATGTCACTTCCAACTGTAGTTTACACACACTGGGAACGCATCATGTGCAGATGTGTTTTGTAGCGGCGTCCCTAATCCCGACACAAAGAGGGAGACACACAGACACATAATCCAGTTTCTCCTCCCGGAGCTGTAACACCACCTTCATCTTCAGATTACAAACCCTTCACCGGTTTACAGGATACACCTTTTGTGATGGTTTTAGCTGAGGCCACACATGTAGAAAGGATGGCTAAGCACTTAAAAGGTTAAGGCTGTCCTGGATGAGTCGAGTGCTGCTTATTCAGGGCTGGAGTTAATAATCACACAGCTGCAGGTAGTGGAGATGCAGTGTTAAACTTTAAGTCTGTATTTTCACACCTTTTAAGCGTTTGAAGACACGGTACAGCACTTTTGCTTTTGGGATTTAGGCTCAAAATGTTTTTTTGTGTTGGTATATTCAGGATTTAATACTACGGGTACACGTGGTATTTTGTATACGTGTCACAAAGTTGTGGAAACCACAATCGATCAAAGTGGGACTGGTTTTTGTGCCTTTAAACAGCATCTTCCTCTTGGTTGGCATAGATATTTCTCTCCTGATCTTGTGGGTTTTAAGCCGGCTCATTAAAAGAAACATGTCTAACGAAACAGGGAGGAAAATCTGTAAAGAAAGAAATCGGGACAACGACCTCATACAAAACAGTTTATTCGACAGTGTCTAGGTCCAGGTAACAACAGACCCCATACAAAAGAAAAAACAAAACAAAACAAATGCTACAAACTTCCAAAGAACAGAGATAACTTCCATCTACACAAAACTTCTCCTTAAAAAATACATTACCATTAACACAAAGAAGTATCGATTAAAGTTAATATATGTAAAGGGGGGGGGGGGATTCCCGTCATATTTAATTGATATTACATAACAAGCCTAACAAGGAAGGTGTTGAATGGGAAAGGAGGTCGCGGTGAATGAGAGAGTGGATGACTACGTGTGTGTGTGTGTGTGAGAGAGAGAGAAGAGGGCAACAGTAATGCAGCAATCAGGTGGGCAAGGAGGGAATAAAAAGGAGATAAGGAGAAAGGAAACGGTAACGAGAGGTAGCGAGGGGGCAGAGAGGTAGCACATAGCAAGAGAGAGATTTGTAGAAGAGGTAGCTAGCGGATGAACGAGGAAGAGGTAGCAGAGATACTAACAGTGCTAGCGAAGGGGGAGAGACTTCACATTAAAACAAACTTCTTTATTTTAGCTGGTTATCAACCTGTGTGTCGACTGAAGGAAGATGCAGCGCGCCATAACGGGTTCTGAGGAAATGAGTTCAGAGGACTCGTTTTCTTATTGTCTGGAGAACTAAATATCTAGATAATAGATGTTACCAAATATCTGCTGGTTCCAGCTTCAAATCTCAAGATTAAACAATTAACTGATAAAAGACAAGAAATAGGGCAGACTACTTTCAATGAATCAATTGTTTTTTTTAGTCGATAAATTGTCAGCAGACGTCTTCAAATGTCTACTTTTGACCGACAAACGCTCCAAACACCAGTTTAACATCATACAAGACGAAGAAAATCAGCCAATATTCCCATCCGAGAAGCTGGAGCCAAAGAATTATCAAAATAGCTCCCAGTTAGTTTCTCGTCGACTCGACTAATCGTCGCTTATTTCAGCTCTATAAATAACCGGTCGGTGGTTGTTCCCCTCGTTCACGCACCATTTTCTTCCCTACGACACCACAAGGACACAGAATTTGTGGACTAAAAACTTATCAGCGTGGCGACTCCAAAATAGGGTTGACACACAGGAATGAGGGATATTGCTTAGTTTTCCCTGGCTGGTGGTCAGAAAACAAAAACGTCTGTGTGTGTGTGTGGAAGTGTGTGAGGCTAGCGAGGTAGGCAGCACTAGGCGTTAGGAAAGGGTGAGCAGAGGAGGAAGAGGAGGGTGAGAAGGGGCGGGGTTTATCCGCTACATTATCATCAGCACCTAAAATCATCTAGAAGCCCAACGAGGAAGAGCGTCATTCCTGCTCTGATGTTTCAGTCACAGCATCTCCCTCTGTGTAAAGGTCAGCAGGAGATTGATTGTGTGTGTGTGTGTGTGTGTGCACGCAGCCTCCAGTGTGAGCCTCGCTTAGCTTACATCCGTGTGTTACAGTGCTGTGGTTGGTGCGTGGCAGAAGGAGGAACGTTTGTCTCGTGTACTTTTGCGTCAATCTTTTTTTAGTTTTTTGTTCAGATTTACGTCTTCAGTAGGAACCAATGGGCTCTGGTTTGAGAGCGACGGACAGTAACATGAGACGGACTCACACATTGTTGGTTCTGGTTTTGTCGTGGGATTTGTTGGAAATAAGACAACTTAAGCCAGTTATATCTTTTCATATTAAATCAGTATAAAAGCTTGTTTCCGTCAAACATCAGACGAAACTCCACCCTGCCATCTTTGTTTTGGTCAAGGAACGGAGGCGCATCTTGTCAAACAGATAAGAAAACAACTTTAGTTTAGACTTTAGGGTTTATTTTCTGTAGCAGAAAGACAATAACTTAACATCTTAAAAAACAAGTTACGTTTTTTTTTTGTCCATCGACCTGCCTCGTTTCACCAATTTGTGCTTCTGTTGACCAAAGATTACATAAGACGCACAAAGTGTGGCGACGGGAGTCAAACGAGTGAACCGCCCCCCCGCCTTGAACACACACAGAACTACAGTGTATCGTTTAAAGAGGAGCGAGAGGTAGATACTCTACAAGACACGAGCAAGGACGAGCTGTGTGTGTGTGTGTGTGTGTGTGTGTGTGTGTGTGTGTGTAGGTCTGGTCTCACTAGCTCTCCCTAGTGTTTGGGATGCGGGAGGGTACACGGGACAAGAGGAGGGGGGGGGGGGGGGGGGGGGGGGGGGGTTACAGTGTAATTTTAAAAACAGCATTGAAAAGAGAAAAAAGATGAGAAAGACAGGTTTTTTTTAGTCTGTTCCCTCTTTGTTTTGTTTTCTGTACACAAAGTCATTCTCTCCAGCCTCCATCAGAGCAGAAAACAGTGTTCATTACTAGACGACCCTTGCCGCTGCGCCCTGAGAGGAAGTCTGGATGTGTGTGTGTGGAAAATTGGGTTACCCTTGCCACTGAACCCTGAGTGTGTGAGTGTGTGATGATGAAGTTTACTGTAGTTTTGAGTGTTGAGAGAAACATGTCGAGCCAGTAGCAAAGGCCATCAAAAGACAGGTTCAGAGATTGAGTTAGCTTTGTGTGTGTGTGTGTGTGTGTGTGTGTGGGGGGGGGGGTCTTAGTTGTCAGCCACTCGTCCACTCGCGGGTGCTGGAGGACCCACAGGAAGTGGAGGTACCGGTTCAGCCTGTGCAGGTGGTGGGCCAGGGTCTAGAAAGAGGAGAGATGCTGTTTTTTAGAGAAAAAGAGAAACACTTTATGAGGTGAAGGAGAGTCCTTGATAGCGGTTTCAAACCTGGATGTCTGGAGTTCAACCGATCATTAACAGTCAACCAATAAGATAAATGCTTTGCATGCAAGGGTGATGTGGTTAAAGGCGCCCAGCTGCACCGATAACCTGATGCACTAACAAATTAAATCCACCGTTTATTTCCAGCGGCAGTTTATGAGAAAAACAACAGCCACGATGTTGCGTGCATTGCTGTGGACACATGCAGCCAGTAACTCTCCCCGTTGCGTCAATTAGTTTAGCTGCGAGGTTGTCAGCTGTGCGTCTACACAGTCACATTAGCGAGCATCGGTCAAGAGATGATGAGTATAAAGTCAGCAGTAACATTATAGCTGTGACTGGAGCAGTGCATGTGTGCAGTTTATCTGTCTGTTAATAAATGCTACAACTCCAGCAACCTGCTGATTGAAGCGCAGGAGGTTAGCTCAGAAGTTAGCGACAACTCAGGCTCACTTAAGGTGGGCTGACCTTTAAGGTGGACCAGCTATTCTCCTTTCAGTAACAAGCCGCTCCTCCTGAGTTACTCAGCCTGTTAACATTAGTGATATATTTCTTTTAACTGCTAAACTGACAGCATTAATGGGTCAAAATTATGAGTGTTGGGTAACGGTTAATTATCAGAATCACTTGGATGAACTAGTATCGACCAAAATGGCTGTTGGATAAATCTCAAGGGTCAGTCGTTAGATGATCAATGAGACTGAAATATAGATGTTTTGTCTTCCTTTCTGACTTCCCAGTAATCTAGTTTTATCTCTAATAGATGTTATGGAATCCAGGTTCAATGTTGGTTCTTAGGTTGAGCTGCAGCTCTCGGTCACAGTAATGTTTAGTTTCCCCAGAAACCTTTTTTGGGATTGCTTGTGATGTAAATCCTGGATTCTAAAAACGACCCCCGCATTTTCCAGCATACTGGTTTTGATGAATTAAAAGTACACATCACCCCAATAATAACCCTTTAAATCTGATACAAACATACAACTTTATACATAAACACACACACACACACACACAACAAACACAATGTGCGGCAGAAGGAGATTTGTACTCACACATGCCGTTGGGAGCTCCAGCATGGCGGGGGGGCATCATGGGGGCCATGCCGCTAGGAGGAGGGCCGCCAGAAGGCGGGCCGGACATCATGCGTCCCGGTCCCATCGGTCCTGTGGTGTAGAAGATATAGCAGAAACAATTCAGACGTGTGGAGATGTGGTGGAGAGGACTGGTTGAAGCAGGAAACGTGTAATAAAAATAAAAACACTGCGGTGCTGGTTACACAAGTCCAGATGAGCCGTTGGACCCCCGTACTACTGACCCAACATGTTTGGCTGAGATGGTCTCATCCGACTCAAAAACTTATACGACATTTGAGAAAATATAATTCTCTTCAGGGCCAGTATGCAGAGTGGGAACATTACCTACCTACCCCCCGCGCGTTTCCGTCTCTCACCTGTCTGTCCTGGGTGGTGAGGGCCCATGGGGTGGAGACCCATTGGCGGGTAGCCGGGGTGCATGGCAGCACCGGGCGGGGGCCCTCCGTGGTGGGGCAACGGTGCTCCGTGGTGAGGCGGGGGCCCTCCAGGGTGCATGCCTGACGGAGGTGGTCCGGATCCGGGAGCCTGCCCTTGTCCTTGAGCCTGGGCGGCGGCGGCTGCAGCAGCAGCAGCAGCAGCGGCGGCGGCGGCGGCGGCGGCCTGCTGCTCCATCTGCTGCCTCGCCTTCATCTCGGCGTATTTCAGCTGCTCCATGTGGAACGCCTGGCGCTCGGTGAGAAGCTGCTGCCGCTGAAGCTCCAACTGCAGGAAAGAGATGAAGAAACAGCAACGCGGTTCAATGAAGGGATGTGTTTTAACCACACAAATGGCTGGTGAGCAAGTCAATTATATTCATATAGCACCATATCATAAATCTGCCTCAACAGGCTTTACAATCTGTACAGCAAACAACAACATCTGTCCTTCAACCCTCGATTCAGATAAAGGAAACCAATAAACCTTCTAACAGGGATACGAGAAGGAAGAAACCTCTGAGGGAGGGATTCCTCTTCCAGGACAGTGCAGCACATTTGCACACTTCAGCGGTCTGAGGAGGAGCTGCTGCACATACAGACCTGTGAACCCTTGAGACCCTGAAGAGTTCAGTGTTTTACAGCCTGTGGCAGCAGGTTTGATTCATCTCCAGTCTTTGGAAAGCTTCTGTAAACCAGAGTCCTTTTCATGCACTATTTACAGCTGTGAAACTGGGCTACGCTCCCGATGCCTCCACCGCGAAAAACACTGTTTTACACTCTCACTGGTGTCTCCGGGGATTGTCCAGCGCCGAGAGACAGAGACACAGAGACAGACACAGACACAGACAGAGAGAGAGAGATAGACAGAGACAGACAGAGAGAGCTGACGTCTATTCACTCCCCTGAAGAGACAGGTAACAGTTTCACTTGCCTGACTGTTCAGCCTTCTTTTCTCTGGAAAAATGTTTTATGCTCAATTGAGCGGCTTCACAAAGACGTGGTTCTGTGTCTCCTCTTCAGTCTCTCTGGTGGATTTGGACCAAACAGGAAGCAACTTGTTCAGTGGCCAACATCGGCCCACCGACTCCAAATATTTACTGGCTGCTTGTCTCAATTTCGCAGCCGCAGAAGCAGGACTATGCGAGTGGGTCGTTCAGGGATAACTACAAAAACCTGTAATTTATTCTGAACCATAACCTTCATCTACCCTCCACCTTGCGTTTCAAAAGTGTGCTGGACGAGCCTCTTTCCACAGATCACCTTCATTATTAATAACCACAGCTGAGAGCCTTTACTGGGTGTGTAGAGATGAAATGTTAATGCTGGAACTAACGCACTCGTGCAGGGTCAACACTGGCCAGTAACATCCACCTTTAAGCTCATCTTCCACACTCAACAAGCATTAAAAAGCTTCTTTTTGACTTACGGCCTCTTTCTCTCGGTCCATGATGGTCTCCAGCTCCTCGAAGTGCCTCAGCTTGATCTCCAGCTTCTTCATCTGGGTCTCCACCAGCAGAGCCACCAGGGACTTGATCTTCCTCTCCTCCACCGCCGCCAAGTGCTGAGGAGGACGAAGAAAAGACGAAGATTAAGCCAGACTGCGACACCTGTTACATCATCAAGTTTAGCTCATTCTGCAGTGACTTTGTGACCAGAAAGTGAAAGTTGCTGCTTTACGTCTTCTGAATTCTTGTCTACTGTGGCCATAATACACAATAGTCAAGTAAAACCTAACAGGAGCAGAGCGCCGACATACAGCAATGTTTTCAGTAGGACAAACCTTGGCCTTGGTGGCAGCCGATGCGAGGGCGGCGGCGGCCGCGGTGGCGATGTTACCCTCTCCGATGTCGTGCTCCAGTTTCTTCCTCTTCTCCTCTCCCTCCTCTGCAGCGGCCTTCTCCTCCTTCTCCTTCTCCTGCTCCGAGGACGACGTCTCCATCGTCTCGTCCTTGGCTTTGTCTGACAGCGACGGAGACGGAAATTTGACTACCACTCTTAACTCATCTCACACACACACACACACACAAACTAAAAACGGTCCTTCTGCACTCTTGCATAGACATTTTAGTGTGTTGAAAAATGTTTCTACACACTGAAGTATTTCTAGCAACCAATGGCCTTAATTAGGAGCCAATTGCTAATGAAATGAAAACTCAAAGTGTGTGGAACATCTTTCATTTGATCATGAACCTCACCGTTACCTGATGGAGTCGTCTTTGCCTCCCCTCCCTCTTCGTTGTCTTCCTCGCGCTCCGACGTCTCCGATCCCTCCTTCTTCACCTTGTCTGTGGCTTCAGTCTTGTCGCTCTTCTCCGCAGACTCGCTGGGCTTCTCCGCCTCGTCCTTCAACTCCGCCTGAACGTTGAGGAGGGATGCACAACGTTAAGTGGACCGTGTCAAGATTGCACTTAAAAGATGACGTGAGATTTAGTGCTCGATAAACGAGAAAATCTGACATTTTGGGTTGTAAAGCCCAACTAAGGAAAAACAACATACAAGAGACGGTAGAAACGGGACAAATGGCCAAGAAACAGTATAAAAAAAAACAACTTAACAACCACAACAGGTAAATGTGGCCGACGTTGTAGCTGGTAAATGAGCTGATGCTCGGGGTTAAGTGGAATAATGGGTCGTATCTTGACCCGATCCACTTTTTGGGGGACAATCACTGATTTGGACACAGCGTCCGACACACGTTAATGGATGTTAATGAGGAAGCAATCAGCCAACGAGCTGCCCAGCAGAGCCATTACATTCAGCCGGCGGGCCTTTACGGACCAAGAGACACCAAATGTAGAGGAGTGGAAAATTGACTTTAAACACCGAGTGGGAGAGAGGGAATGCGTAAAAATAGGATTTGCTTCGGGAACTTGTTTTAGAAATGAAATTTTATATTTGGATCCAGTTTTTAAAGATTTATGTGTCAGATACGGGCTGAGAGCCACGGAGAGGGTAAACGTGCTTAGAGGTAGACTGATGCTGTTGCACCATTCATTCACGAACGCACAGATTTCCTCGACGTGTAGGACATAAAGAAAAACAAATGTCGGGTTTACCTTGTCGGCCTGTTGGGAGTCTGTGTCCGTGTCCATCTTCTCTGCCTCTGGGGCTTCTGCAAGAGACGGTGAAGCGGAGGAGTTGGCGTCATGTCACAGAATAAAACTAATCAAGATGCTTCAGATTGTGACATTTATAGCAGGACACAGGCGAGAAGGAGGGTGAGATCGCGTTCATGCACAATCAGACAAAAGGAACTACAGAGCAAAGCCGACACGTTCAACACTTCTGATACAACTGTAACAGGGTTAGGAAGCACAGACACATCAACCGGTTCATCGATTCTCTGAGGAGAACACCATCAGAAACTAGTGTTTGAGGGAAGAAACTCAGGAATTAAAGGTCAAAGGCATTTGAAGGGAGCAAAGCCACAGGATGGAGTGTGCATGAACACACACACACACACATATTCACAATCACACGTGACCGGATGAATACATGTGTACGCTTGAGTGTTAAACCGTGTCACGGGTGCACTTGAGCGTGTGTTAAAGGTTTGAATATTGATTGTGTGTGTGTGTGTTGGTCGGTCGACTGCTTCAGGCCAAGAGAGGCACTGAACACATTAAAGCTTATTGATTGCAACTGTGGCTCAGTCAGGAGGAGGGCATTAATTCAGGTATAACAGATGATTGGGTGAGAGAGAGAGTGAGTGAGTGTGTGGAAGGAAGTGAAAGAAAGGAAGAAATATTTCAAGAAAGCACTGAACAAAATAAAGAGAAAGAGATAAGCACATGTTGGAGTGAGATGACCCAGTTTTCTCCTCCCCCTCCCCTGTCCCATCTGCCACTGTTGTTTTAATCCACTGGGTATCTCTCTCTCTCTCTCTCTCTCACACACACACACACACACACACACACACACACACACACTGCTCACCCCCTGTTGATAAAAGCCGACGTGTATTGTCTTCAAATGTCATCTGTCTGATATTCAGGCAAAGAAAGACCATCATTTTCATTCAAAGATGGAGGAAAAGCAAAGATGTACACATGCACACACTAGATGGCAGCTACAGTGCTACCATCTGCTGCCCTCCAGTGGCTACACGAGGTGTGGCACTTTCCCCGATTCTAGGGCGCATCGCGATGCGCAGGTGAATGATTCTGCGTCGATGTCGTGACAGAACATTGTCGGGGTTAACCCGGGCACTCGCCAGTCCGCTAGCTTGTTGCTCTTACGACCAATATTAGCTTTCAATAATGTTGGGCTGAAAAATAGATGCAATTCAACCGTGGTGCTGTTGTGAAACCTGTATATTTGTAGAACACAGCACACTTGTCATGCACCACAGAAGGATTTATGTTTAGTGATGTTTATGTACTGAGGTGGCTCACAAAGATAATATTGAAAATATGCAACTTTTTTTATATAATAGACTGGATTTTCTAGCTAAAAGGCGAGTTCAGACCTCAAAGCAGCTCCTGTTTCTACCCCTCTTCACATTCGACTCACCAGTCTTTTCGGGTTCTTCGGGAGCGGTGCCGGCGATGCCGCTGCTCTCCAGGCCGAAGGCGGGGTCCACCTTTCCTGTGCTCCTGGCCGCTTCCTGCACCTTCTTCACGTGAGCCTCCACCAGCTCAGCCGGCACCTCCTCACGCACACGGGAGAACTCCTCTGCAGACAGAGAGAGGACATTTATTAACCAACGATTCAAAACAGACACTCAATATGTCCATGGGTGCATTACTGAAACATTTAATCTTGCTTTCAAAAGACAGTTACTTTGTTTGTATTGTTTTTACAGTTTAAAAGACGTGACTCTGCAGTTTCGTCTTCCTTCCGTCAGTTCTCACCTAAAGCTGCCCGAGCGGCAGCAGACGCCACTCTGGGGTCGACCACAGAGGCCAGGAAGGCTACTGTGCTCATGACGGGGTTTCCAGACTGGCTGAAGGGGATGGGCTGGTAGGCCAGAGGGCCCAGGGAGGCCTCGGTGCTCTCCATGTACGGATCCTCAATGGGGAGGCGCAGGAAGTGCAAGATGCACTCGTCCTGGGTACGTGAACCGATGTGCTCAGACACTTTGTTCCAGTCGTCTTTGAACATCTCCAGGGCCTGGAAGAGTCGAAGGGGAGTGAATATACATTCAGCCGTAATAGCTCGTCAGTGTGCAATATTTAAAGAGGTATGCAGGATCATAAAAGCAACAGATTTAAGGGTCGTAAGGCGGAAGATGAGAGAGAGAGGAGGGTTACACACTGCAGAAGGGAGGCAATTAAAATGAAAAATGTAAGAAGAGAGGGAGTCAAATTGAGAAAGGATTTATGTAGCTAGGAAGGAAGCAAAAAGCACAACGATAAAGAATAGGAGGGAAAGGTAGGGAAGAGAGATAGAGGGAATAGAATGATGGAGGTTAAAGATGGACAACGAGCAACAAGCGCATTAACTGATTTATGTTTCCTTCTGTGTTTATGACACAGCGCTCAGCAGTCATAAATATTCACAACAGGTTTCTTTCCTCTCTCGCGTCCTGTGAGACTCACCTCCAGCAGCAGAAGGGTTTCCTGCTCGGTCCAATCCCTGGTGGAGTTGACCGTCTTACCCTTTAGGGAACCAGAACCAAATGATCACATTAGGAATGATATTAGGAACGTGTATTGGCAATATTTTAAGTACAATAGCAAAAAGGTTTTCAATCATGTTTGTTTGTCTATATCCTCCAATATACGTATATAAACATAACATTTCTATATTCTATTATTTTTGGGCTATTGCCCCTTTGTTTAAGATTTTAGAAACGATCTCTGGGGCTCATGAGAAATCATGAAGTGGAAAACATGTCACAGGCTGTTAAGCGAGTCGTGTGCCGACCTTGAAGTGTTTCTTGTTGTAGAGATCGGAGCGAAGGCCGAAGTTCTGCAGGTCGATGGACTTGTCTTTGCCTTTGTCTGCGAAGTTGGGCATTGGCTGTTGGGGGGGAATCTGCAGGGATGAAACACAGCACATTAGCAACAATGCGCTTACGTAGCACCGTTTTAGTCCCATTAGAGACGTCTGTAGACGAAGCTGCTCATACAAACAGTAGAAAACGATGGAATCCAGACACGCTACATTACATCAAAGATGTGATTTTCCTTCGTGTTCCTCAGTTCTCTTTCATACAATTTACAAACTCCCTTCATCCATCCGTCACTCTCTCCATCTTTTAAGTCGGCCTTACCGGTGGGGGTCTGTGGTTCAGGGGCATGAGGCCAGATGGTGTGTCAGCCAGCACGGTGAAGTGGGGTGTGGGCGGGGGGCCCATGGGTAACGGGCGACTCTCGGAGTCGACCTGGTAGTTCACCAAACCCCACTGCTCCAGGAACGCATGAACCCTGGAGACAGAGAGCAAAACATAATAGATATGCTTTTTGTTTTTCTTCTCACTAAAAAAGGGTGTGTAGCAGTGGCATGGAAATCAGATTCCATTATGGAAACGAGCGGTGGCATTCCACTTGAAAAGATCGAATACACTATCAGAGAGGGATGCAACGTATCTCTAAAGACCGCTCACCTCATGATGGCACAGACGTCCCCGGTCAGGTTCCTGCGACAGGAGGTGGAGGTGAGGTACTCCTGAGGGTTGAGCCGATATGTGTCGATCATGAAGTTGCGGTAGGCCAGGTATCTGTTGAAAGAAAGAGGTGAGCGTGACAGGAAACACACATCGTACAGGATTTACATATAAATGCTTGTGGTTTTATATAATTTGTAATAGTGTGTGGATGTGTGTGTGTGAGCTCACATCTCTGGAGTTTTGGACTTGTTCTTCCCGTTGAAGAACTCGGGCAGCGCTCTTCTCTCGATCTCATGGATGCTATCAGGAGAGGAAAACAGATCAAACTAAATCAAAGAATTGGTTTTATGATTTATAACGATGAATTGACTGTGGCTCCTTATTTGATATTTAACAATCCGTTGTTAAAGGGTTAGGTTTTTTGGTCTGCCATAATAGTGACAGTGACCTTTGAGTGTTTCCATCTCAAGTGCACCTTAAAGTCTAAGTAAAATACAGCTAGTGATTCAAATAAAAAGACAACTTCTTCAAAAGCCTCAACCTTTAAGGCAGAATCAAATGTGTGTACAGTATCAAAGCACATGGTATTTGTGGCAGAGGCCTCAAGTTCTCATTAAATCACACCAGAAATTGAAAAAGAGCAAAATCTGTAGTTATGTGTTTGTCTTCACTCACTCACTCACTCACACGCACACACACGTACCAGTTGTAGTCAAACCAGGCGCCGTAGCTGGGGATGATGATGTGGTGAGTCTGTTCCGTCACGTTGTCCTCGCTAGAGTCCAGCAGTCGGTTCACTTCAGCTTTGCTTTGATCCTCATCGTCCTGCAGAAAGGGACAAAGAGTCGGACCGGTCAGCACGGTGAACACAGGGAACAGTGTTGGGAGGCACCAAGTGATGCCAATAATAACAAAATATATATATAGATTAACTTTAGTAGTTTAGTTGTCCTAAACGTTTCTCAACATAAAGAACATTTTGTCTATTTAAGTTTTGCTTTTTACATTTTTTTGTATCAAACTCTGTATGGTCTCGTCTCGTCATACGTTCTTTCAGGAATTTACTGAGTTTTTTGTATTTCTTGTAGAAAACCTCTCTAGTCCGGCACCGATAACGTATTTTATCTTAAATAATATTGTACTATCATGATTTGTATATACTGTATAATGACATCAGCATGTCAACAATTTGTGGTCTATACTCTTTGCTTAGTCATGTTTGTCTTTGTCATATTGGCCATTTGCCTGAAGAAGACACAGCAGGTTCAAAATGGTGCCTTATTTTTGGTCAAATACATTATTTGGGAGCTAAAATCGAGTGTGACACAACTCTCCTTTTCCCCAAGCCGTAAAAACCTAAACTTTTCTGATGACATATTGTTAAGTTTGTGTAATTAAAAAGTACATTTCTAGTCACTTTATTTAAGATGTGTCTGAGACGATTAGTCAACAATGACGTCAAAGCCTTGAGAGGTTTGACTGTGACAACACTGAGCTCTGATAACATCTGGTGGGCATTTGTCACAACTAGTTTTTAGTCTAAATAATGTGTCATTGTTGGTGACATCTTGCAGACCGACTGAGAAGCCAAACAAACACTCATCAGGACGTCAGAGTCATCGATCATCTTACCTTTCCACCAGAAAGCACGGAGTCGTCCTCCATGTCATCTGGAAAAAGTGAAAACAGATTTCAGTTGAGATGCATCACACTGGTCGATGCACACATTTGAAACCGTAATTTCTACACAACTTAACAGATGAATTCAGTTATTAATACGCACCCAAGTCGGCCACATTCCCTCCTTTCACCGGAGTATTCTCACTGTCTTTCTTTGAGTTTGCTGTGTAAGAAAGAAAGTAGACGACTGAAAAGGGTGATTGAGGCATTAACCGGCACCCTGGTTTTGCAAAAGAGGACATTATAATAGACAGTGGGGGGGTAGTTGTAAAAGTGGGACATTCCAGGTGGGACTTGGGTCTAAAAAAAGAGCAGAAGAAAATCTTTTCGGAGAGTTCCCTAGAACTGAACATCAGCAAGACATGAAGACTGTCAGCTAATCGACCATGTCAGTCTCATATTTCTGCTGGTCGTATTAGTTTAGTATTTAGACAATAACTTCACAGCCACGAACACACAACATGTCGTCGGTGTAGACGTTCTTCAGCGTGAATGAACCAGTGATAAAACTCCTGATTAGTAACAATTGCAAGTCCAAAATTAAGCCGTAGTGGAACAAGCTTAAAGCATTTGGAACGACTAACTTAATCAGACACTTATTATATTGTAATTCATTCCCATCGTGCTGCTCAGAGTGACCGACAATAACACAGAGTGTCTCTCCCTAACATAATCCTGAATATAATGTTTTTCCAAACAGACTTCAAAACTCCACTGAGTTAAGAAATACCGGTATTCAGTATTAATTTCATTTTGTGCTGATATGATGCTGGCTGCAGCTGGATGTAACCAAATGTACAAAAGACTATAAAGATTAGTATTACATTTACAGGTTATCACTGATATTCACAGCTTTTCTCTGATTTATTGTTAAATAAACTTTTTGTTTTGGTCTGTGGGAACTTTTCTTTGTTTTTTACATTTTCTAGATAAAACGGTGAATTAAAAAGATGATAAATAATAAGTTAATAACTATTATAACTTTGGCCTTTGACTGCACATTAGACCTCAGCTTATCTCAGCATAGCTCCAGCCCGACACATACCATTCTTGGACATGCTTCCCTCCTCCATGCTGGCACCAGCTGAGGAGTCGTCCATGTCCTTGGTCATGTCCTCCTCCGTGTCCTCCTCTTCGCCTCTGTGGCCCCGTCGCTTCCAGTGAGGCCCCTGGTTCCTGACACCAAAGAGAGAGTCATAAGTCAGTTAAATGTCACTGGAGATCCTCAACAAAAAAATCTATGTTAGCAGCAATTCAGCATGGCAGCTCAAGCTAGCCAAGTAACACACAAGATCAAGGTAAGGTGTATCCTTCTTTAGCTGTGCAGACCATAAAGTCATCAACACACAGAAGAATTTGGCCTCCTTACCCCTTCTTTCCTCCCTTCTTGCGGGACTCGGCAGGAGTGCTGGGCGGCGAGGGCGAGCGCCTCCTCTTCTTGCTGGCAGAGTTGGCCTTGCGCTCCTTGCGATCGGGTGTACGGGAAGACTGATCAGACAAACCCCGTGCAGCGCAGGGAGCGAGGGATGGAGGATGAGAGAAAGAGCCGCAGAATGAGAGGATGGAACGGTTGCACACAGAAGGAGGGGAAGCGGTGGGATAACGACGGCGGGAAAGGGAAGAGGGTGGGGGGGGATGCCGTGGAGGTGGAGGAGACGACCAGGGTTCCTGTACGCTGTCCTCAATGCTGTCTCAAATATAGCTTCTCTGTCACCCAAACCTCCACTTCGGGATGCGTGCATTGAGGTTAAAGACCTAATGTTTTTATTGGTAGATTGATTTAGTTAGTGATCAAACAAAAACAGGAGCTTATGAACTATTTCGTGGCCATTATGCATTATGTAAAACTAATGCAAGTAAAAGAAAACCTCTGAATCAAACAGGCTTTTTCAAACTGCCCATTGTGCTAGCCTCAAATGAGGTGGGAGCATTGAATGTGTTAATGTTAGCGGAGACTGTGAGGGTACTTCAATGAGGTGACGGTGAACAGACCAAGACAAACTCTCCCCTTAATGAATCCTTCACATGGTATCTGATTGCAATCATGTGTAAGTGTTCGGCCTGTGAAGCAAGTCATTTGTGGCTGGAAAACCTGCTTTAGTTTACAAGCTTTTGTTCTCCTGGTGAATTGTTGAAAATCATGTTTTCCAAACATGCACAGAAACCCTGACATACAAAGAGTGAGGAAAGGTTTGGAAAGGATGGGCAACAAAACAGACAAGAGGCCAGACGCAGCCGAAGGAGATGCACAATCCAGACAAAACACAAAGACTTGTACACAAGCCGGCTGGTTCGCCTTCAAAATGTTCCATCAGCAACTTCCCAGACAGTACAGAACTCATGAGCAATGTTTGATTTCTATTGTTCATGAACTGCCAATCTGAACATTCAGTGTCAGTTAGTCGGTTGTTATCATGTGGGACACAATCAGGAAAAGTTGTTGCTGATATTTAATAAACAACAAACAGCGGTTTCAAGCCGGACTGATGATCGAGGGTTAGAAAACGTTCAGAGCCAGGAACACACACACACACACACACACACACACACACACACACACACACACACACAGAACAACACAAACACCTACCTCCTCCTCCTTGGGGAAGATCTTCTGGCGGAAGCTGACTGGCTTCTTGTTGTCGTCCACCTCGTAGTCTTCTTCATTCATCCACTCGTTGAAGGCATCGGTGTCTAAAACCCACTTGGCATGGACCTGAGTGGGAAGGAGACCGTTGTTCAACATGATCGTGTGCTGATAGTTTATTATTCTGTGTTTATCCTACTAGAATCTAATCATGCCTTCACACTGTCGCCCTGATTTTCCTTTATTGTTTCACACAATAGAATGAACTCACTGTTGCGTGTTGAAACCAGAAAATTGTGACTCCCTGAATGCTTCTCTTTGGAACTAAACTTAATTTTCCTTTTTGAATATCAAAGCCTGTTTTCATTTAAAGATGTTCGACTTGCTCAAAGTTCCTTCTCTCGTGCTCCTTGTTGCTCACCTTCCACGGTCTGTCGGTGCTGGGTGGGTCCTCCACGTCTCCATCCACCTCACCGGCTGATACCCAGGTATCATAGCTGACAGAGAATGAAAACATCAATGAACCGACATGCTGTCTCCAAGACTAAGACACGGGCCTGAGAGAGATTTTGTTATTGGCTATAAAAAGAATAATTTGTTTATCAAAATACTAAAATACAAGGAGTCTCTAAAATCTATTATTTGTAACTTGCAATTGTAACTAAAATGTATTTTTAGAGTTTACTAATGTCCAGCCGTTTTCATTATTCAAACAAAAATATGAAAAAACATTCAGTAATGCAAAAATCTGGATTATATAAACTCATAACACTGTTTCCTATAATTACGTGAGGAAATCTGAGTAGAAATACATTTAAAGTCAATTTACTCCCTCAAAAATACAAAAAAAAAGGTTGTGAAACTTAAATGTTGGTTCTGTTTCGTCCCTTCAGAAGACCCTCTTTTCTTTAAAACGCTGACTATAGTCATTTAAATCAGTATGAGGAGTGCCTCTGCTCACCTGTCTGGGGAGAGACCCCAGTGAACCAGCACCTGCTTGTCTTTCCTCATGACAGGACGAAGCCACTCTTCTGCGACACACACAAACCAATGCTGGCATATACACATTGACCAACTATACAAATTATTGAGTCATACGTAAACAAATCTGGTATTACAAAAAGATCGAGAACACGATCACCAGTCAAACTTTTGCTTACGATTTGATGTTATTCGTTATCATCTTACTGTATTTTGCACGACTCACTTTTTGTCATTGCGACAATAAATAAAACACTGGTTTTGAGTTTTAAATATTAAGAAAGTGAGAGAAAAGCATTCCCAAATATTATGGGGTTAGGTATTGATTAGTGGTGCGTGTCTTTCCCTCTCAAGACGATTCAATACATGTTCTGCAATACGATACAAAAACTATACAGTTAACCACTTTGATACAGTACTACTCCAATAAGACCCAGCTCCAGTTCAATCTCATTCAGTTTCACTAGCTCATTGGCCATGGTTGTGCTTTAATGATAATAATCTTTCATTTCAACCGTTGCTTTCCTTACATCTGTAATGATGACATAATGGAAGCATTCTCCTGCTGACACGATGCAGATGATGAAGTGTGATTTCACTGCATCCACAGACAATTGCCAAAAACTAGACAATGTTGACACCAGAGACTGTGTGCATCTGTACCCAGCTAGCTGCTATACGAGTGCAGCAGATTGGACACTAGACACCAGACCAAAGCTTTGTTTATACTCGCACTGGGCGCCGTAGCGCGAGCCTCTGTTTGTACGGAGGCATTTATACTCCGTGTGCGGCATTATTCTCCGAAACACCAGAGGACGTACAAACAAAATGTGAAGAATCAAAAAGACAACGAGTGAAACCCAGAGATATGTCCACAGACTGTAGGTGTAACCGGCAAAAAGCCATAAACCATCCTCCACAACCTTATTCTTTGTAAAATCCCTCGACATGTAAATAGTGTTCTTATCAGTGAACTATAATAATGTCATTGACTGCTAACGTTTAGCCAATGAGCTAAAAGGTAGTTAAAACTCTTGCATACCGCCGTTGAGTGTAGCTTAGCCTCCCATATACAAAACAATCGACCGAAACGTTTTAATCCATTTTGTTTTTGTGACTCTTCATAGCTAGCTAGCTAGCTCATGTCCCTGTTTCCTGTATGAATATTGGAGACGCAGGGCCGGGTCTCGCTGCCTCTGTCTCTGGACTCGTACACAGACAGACAGACACCTCGCTCTTTCTTCCCGCTCATACGCACAGATGTTAAAAGCTGCTCAAATTGAAATGTTTCTGACAGATTCCCCTAAAAATTGTAGTCACATTCTGAGTTTTGTGTCGATGTAGCCTCATCTGTGAGTTACAGATAATTCAACCTTACCTTCTTCTTGTTGGGATGGAGTGGGGTAAATGTGGTGGGTGGCCTTTGACTTGTCATCAGTAATGGAGCCCTGAGAGGACAGAGTGGAGATAATAATGAACAACTAAAGAGACAGATACTTTGCCATTAGAAAGAACCCTTCTCCACTTCACTGATAAATCATTTAATTGTGTAGTTTGAGGTAGTAGGTTTGGGCTCACCTGGTGCCTTTTGATGATGTCTTTGAGCTTACTGGCTTGTTTCTGCTCGATGTCCGGCGACAGGAAGACGGTTGGTCGAGTCAAGCAGTTGTTCTAAAAGCACAGAAACAACATTTTTCATCCCAAAAATGTTTGTAAAAGATGATTACTGCTCATCTAGCGACGTATCCATGCAGCTTGGCTTGGTTAAAACAGCATAGAAGTTATTACTAGTTAATAAATTATGAAGGTTAGATTAAAAAAAGACTTCTAAACAGCAGATTAATGTCAGTTAACTAAAACAGTAAATGTCTGCCGTTAATAACAACTAGTTTGAGGGACTTTCTGGTAGTGCAGGATCCTTCCAATAAGAGCCATTAAATTGATTCACATAATAAATACAAATAAATAAAGAACATCTACAGACATCTTAATTGGAGACACTGAGCCGTTCATCATCATGTGTCGTACCTGGACCAAGTTCTTCTCTACATTTAAGAACATTTCCACGTTCCTGTCCATCCGGGAAGGATTCTGCAGATCAAATCTACGCCTGGGAGTGGTTGACAAAGAGGAGTAAGACAATGAGATGTAATGTGGATGCAGCAGTACAGTACAAACGATAGCTACAACGCAGACTTATGTAAAAAACAACAGAGGGAACGTGTAAAAGCCGGAGCTTCTTTGTCCTGACAAAGCCAACTGGTGTACATGTCAGGACTACACAAGTGTTAAAGTTATAGTCAACACGTCTTTCTATGGAAGTCATCACAAGTCAACTCACCATCCCTGCTCGCTCTTGAACTTGTAGACCGACCCCAAGATGTGACAGAGAGCACCACCTGCCTTGAAATCCAGGAAACACTTGGCCTGAAGATAGAAGAGTTACAAAGAGAATGTGACGTGCACACAGGGAGAGCTAGGAATTGTAGAAATGCTGTAGAAATTGAGAATGTGTTTTGCTTACAGGTAGCTTGGTAAGAGCGGGGTTGTTGACCCTGCGTCCAAATGCGTCTTCCTGGAACTGCAGCAGCTGGACCACCAGACCCGCCAAGGATTTACTGGAGGGGGAGTCATTCTGGACAGACTGGGACCAGACGGAATAAAAACATTTATTAAAACACACCCCAGTGAGAAAAACACACACACACACACACACACACACACACACACACACACACACACACACAAAGCTGCATGATTTGTCACAAGAAACACAGTGCACCACTCTAATGTCAAAAATGAACAGATGCATGTCACCTTTGAATAGAAATGGAACAATATAATTTTAAATAAAAGTAACTAGACAATCCTCTAGTAACAAGATCCCCAAAAGACATCTTAAAATTGGTTGCTTGAAAAAAATGGGGATTTACTACAAAGAACAAAACTGTGTGTTTTACATTTTAAATGTGTGTGATGTTGCTATGATTATAGTCAATATACAGGCACATCATTTGGCACACCCACTGAAATGTGTGGGTTCAGTTGCCACCCTCAAGAGAGGAGGTCAAAGGTCAGGGGCAACAACACCACCAAGAGCTTGCAGCTTCCTAAAAGACATTAAAGCAAAGTAGCTATTTGCTGTCACGGGTCCTGCTATCTACCAAATCTCACACATACATGACTTTCTTATCATGGCCACAGATACATTTCCACGCTTAGCATAGCGCTACAATGCTGCAAAGGGATATAGTGATAAAAGCTATCGCTATGAGAAAATAGGACAAGCCAAACTAAACAGGAGGAAACGCTCACATACACCTCGGTTTATTTATAACACGGACAATGTCAAGGAGACCCACTTCCAGCATTAAAAGAAAAACCATCCATCTTAGCTGTTTTAGATGCAGTGATATCATATAAACAAACTCAAACCAAGCATCCGGGTTAGCATTTCTGCAGAAGCATGTTAACTTGTTTTAGTGTCAGGTGTGTTTGTCTGTGTAGGAAACGTAACTAAGTCTCTCATCTAGATTCATCCCAATTGAATGTATTATTTCTTCAACATAAACAGCTAAAAGCGTGTCAGTGGGTTTGAGAGAGAGCATGAAGAGACAGGAGGACCACTCTTTGTTTGGCTAACTTAGTGGAGGCTGCACAGTCTGGTATGCTGCTGTGTTGACAAAACGGACAACAGTGTAATTGAGCATGATTAAAAAAGGCAAACTAGTATATATTTTTGCTTACATTTGATTGATTACCCGGTGTCCCGTGACTGCCATTTGATTAGCTTCTCGGGCCTTTTTAAAGCAAATACTCATAATAAAAAGGAGTTTCGCTGAAATGTTATCTATTAAGAGAAGTTGCAAATATAAGCTGAACAACCTCAGTAGCTGTAACGTCCCATCTGGCTCTTTGTTTGTCAACATTTTCGCCCCGTAGTGTGTTATTATTATTAACGGCACTGACGCGGCAGTTAGCTAGCTAGCAAGCCGGGAGCTAACCAATAGATAAAACAGCTTCACTACAGTAAGAGTCTGTGTAATTTGAGGGATGCTAACACGAACATGTGCTAACTGGGCATCAGCTTTAATTAACAAACAACAGTTTATATAAGCGGCCTAAACTATAACGTTAGTTTTGTTGTGGCAGAAGCTAGCTAGGATAGCTAGCGCCCCCATTGTGCCAGCAGGGACGCGGGCCGTCATAGAGAATCAATGGAGAGCCAGCTAGCTAGCTGCTAGCTCACCTTCTTGTAGTGCTTTCCGATCCACTGCCGCACCGTCTCGAACTGGGATATGGTATCTGAACTTTCCCAGAATTTCGTAGACGGACCGCCGTCCTTCTTTCGTCCCACTGCGGTTCCGCCGCCGCCGACCGGGCCGGTGGCCGGTCCGCCTGATCCCGTTCCGCCTGCCGTTGTACCCGCCGCCGTCGCCATTGTTGTGTGTGTTTTTTTGTGTCCGCTGCGTTGTCTCTTTCTCCTCCACGGCGTCCGCTCACCATGCAAGTTTTCGAATGATATTGCGCAGCCGCAAACGTGTTGATGTTTGAGTCTCGCGAGTCTTAATATTAGAGGGCTTGTGGGAGATGTAGGCAAACTTACACGTTATCCTTTACGAGAGTGATAAAAAGAGTGATGCAAAAATATAAAAATATAACTACAAATAAATACATAAAATATAAATTAATAGATATAATGACATAATTAACTGAATACAAAATATATTTCCCATTGTCAAATAAATCTCGTAAAACGTACAACGTTTCCCTCTGAAATGTAATGAAATAGAAATGTAGTAGAATAAGATAGAAATACACAAGTTCCTCAAAATTGTCGTACAGCTCTTGAGAAAATGTACTTTCCACCACTGCTGTTAACGTAGTTTATCATTTACTATTTATTTCTAATTGTATAGACCTTGTTTGTTAACAGATGTTCACATTTATTCTCTGCCTTAATTAATTTGCTAATGAATCTTGTTCAATAAAAATACTTTCTCCTATTTGAACACATACAAGGGCACAAGGTCTATCACTAATATCACACTGATCACACGCAATTATTCTCTAGTTTTGTTATATTATTGTGGACTTATTCTCTCCTCCTTTGTCCTCTTGTGGTTTCACACTTCATTGCATGTTTTCTTTTTCAGCATCAATAATTATTCCTAAGAATCCAAAGTACACGCGTTGTGTAATCAGACCAGGAAGCTGTGCCATATATGATCCACCTATAGCTTATCAACAACATGAATATCTCTAATTTTACTGTTTTATCTCTGTGTTTAGCTGACCAGGAAACACAATCATATTTATTCGGGAATTGACAGTAATCAGCAAGAACACGTGGCATATTTCTTTTAAACAAAAGGTAGTCTATAAAGCAAAACACATATAAAGGATTGAACTTTAGCACGACGTTCTTGTTTGTCAGCGAATATCAGATTCTTCCTGGCTGCAGAGAATTTGTGCCTCTGTCCATCCAAGACTAGGAGGTGGAGCAGGTTTACACCATCTCCTCTTCTCTGAAATCTCCATCATCAGAAAAAGGATCACTCAAGACTTTTTTCACCAGGCAAACAGAGAAATATAGGTTATTGAGAGAAGGGATGCTTCAGATAAGGCTTCGGTGGAATCCATGCCTACCTTTTCTATTCCAGTCGAATTCAGCCTGGGCACCACAGCAAAAGAGAAAAATCAGATGGACAAAATTGTACTCACAACCTTAAAAATCATTGATATTAAGCTGCTTTTCCCCTCTGACACACATGAGTATGTTTTTTTTATGTTTTAATGAGAATAGCTGTTGATGTGACTTTAAAGTATTTTATTTTGAATCTACTAATTGAAAAAGTAGCACCAGACAGAAACAAAGGAATCACATTTGCTTTATCTACAAGGACAAAGTCGTCTGTGGTAAATCATCAATGACCAACAAAATGTGCCACGATAAGAGGTGCACATAAATATCCCTGTGTGGTCCACATCAAGTCATATTCACCAACAAAACACAAACAGCGGCTCCTCGTCTTCTTCTGAGTATATTTTGCAAGTCAAGGTATGTGGTTGTATTTGATTAAATCTTTTAAATACAAAGTCTGGAGGATCATTTAATTTGTGTATAGTGTGCATTGACAGTTAAGGCTACACATGCAGTTTCTTATTTGCCACCAGTTATTTATCTTATAGCAGTTATTTCATTTGTATGCACTTTGGATATCTAACTTCTGGAACGACTGTTGTAGGTCTTGGATGAATTTCATTCGGTATTAATGATGACAATATTTATTCCTTCAGTGTAATTCATTGACTGTTTTGTTTGTCTCAACCAGAACAATGAAACACAGTTCAGTTCTGCCTTTGCTGCTTCTTCTGGGGACGCGTTCGGCTTACACCTATCGTAAGTAAGATCTGGCTATATTTGTTACACATTAAAGTCGCCCATGACCTGGCTAGAGCTGCTTCAAGTGCTACATTTAGAAACAATAAGAGATGTAGAAAGAGTTTTGAAAGAGTGCAGTTTGAGGAGATGAGATTTCAGTCTTAAAAAGTGTAGAGTTTCTGCTCTCCTGATGTCACAGGGGAGCTCATTCCACCATTCTGGAGCCAATACAGCTAACAGTTGTGATTATGTTGAATGATAGCTGGGCCCTCTTCGTTATGAAGGAAGCTGATTGGCAGTAGCAAAGCGTAGTGGACGGGCTGGGAAATAGGGTTTGACTATGTGCTGGATGTAGTATGGGCCTGAGCCATTCAACACACGGTAGGCAAGTACCAGTGTCTTGAATCAGATCCGAGCAGCCAGTGGGAGCCAGTGCAGGGTGGAGGAAGTAGGTTGGTGGCAGGCTGCTGCCTGGATGAGTCGCAGTGGTTTAGTAATTAGATGAGATGAGCCTGGCACAGACTGCGTCGCCTCCAAGGTGAGTAATGGACGTATTCTCCTGATGTTGTGGAGAATGAATCTGCAGGAGCAGGTTGTTGCAGCCATGTTGGCAGCAAAGGACAGCTGGTCATCAAGTGTCACATCCAGGTTCCTTGCACTACGAGTCAGGGACACCACAGAGTTCTCAATGGTGATGGAGGTCACGGATGGGAGATGCTTTCCCTGGAAGGAAGAGCAGCTGAGTCTTGTTGATGTTGAGCTTCAGGTGGTGTGCAGGCATGCAGACAGATTTGTGCTGCCACCTGGGTTCCATAAGCTGACCTGACCGATGGTTTGTTACACAGAACAATCCGAGAAGCCGTCAATGGAAAGTGAAAAGGGTAGGCACTTTCAAAAAAGTCCTGGCAGGTGATTGGATGAACCATCTGGTAATTAATCTCTTGCGGAAATCAGACGAGAGAAGAGCAAAAACATCTTTTATCCCACAGCTGGGATATTTGCAGGATTACAGCAGTAGAGTGGATAGTGCACGAACAAGAGACTTAAGTAAAAAAACAATCAGGTATATTGTCGGACAATAAGTAATCAGACACTAAAGGTATAATAAATGTATAATAAAGTAAAAAAGCTAAAAAACAACAACAACTAAAATATGGTATAATCAGACTGATTGGTTGGGTTCATATTATTGCACCTATGAGGCAGTAAAGATTAAGTGTTGATGTTGCACATTTATATTTTACAGTGGATACATTGGATTGATATTGCACATGAATGAATAAATGAATGAGGAATTTGTCAGTTCTTGGTAAGTGCGCTCTACTGGGAGCAGGGTTGGTTGTGCAGTCTGACAGCGGCAGGAAGGAAGGGCCTGTGGTATCTGTCCGCCACACACAGCTTTTCCATTAAGGAAAGCCTTCAGTGCCGTTCTTTGCTCTCCTTTCAATGAAGAAATGCTCACCAGTTCTGATACAACTGATGCTATTGCAGCATCCACGCTAACCTCTTTAGGCCGCCATTGTTGTTTTGAACAGTCGCCTCTCTGTGTCGTCTCACACACATCTATGCCACGGCCATAGCTCCTCGCAAGACGCTAATTGGTCTGGACACTGGGTTGCTGGACACAAACACATTACTTGAAGCATGTTAACATGAATATTTGTGTGATATGTGATCCCGTGATTCTCGTGGCATTACAAGAATCCGGCTGCCCTGCAAGGTAATGGTTTCAGACCTTGGAAAATAAATAATTTAAGTTGAGTGTCATCTGCATAGCTAAGACAGGAAAAGCCATAGGAGTGAATAACAGAGCCAAGTGACTAGTTTTAAAGATCCTAAAGGATCCTAATTGACTTTCCATTGACATTGTTTTTGTGCTGAGTGACATAAAGAAAACGGACAATTCATGTCCCCCGTACAAGAAATGAATATATTGCATTTCGTTTCTATTTCACGACCTGCCAAGATACAGGGTTGATTCATCAGGTGGACTCAAACACTACATGATCATGTTGATCTGTAACTGTTGGATGTGTCAATAAGTGGCCAATAAAAAAAGGTTATTGCAGGTTTGGTCATTTTCAAACATTTTTCCATCAAATATTTTAATGTGTATTTCCACCGTTTCATTCCCAGAAAATGTGGCCTTGCGTGGAAAAGCAACCCAGTCACATCGTAATCCAGACCTTTATTCATCTGCTTACAATGCTATCGATGGAAATCGTGAATCTAACTACTTGGCTGGATCATGCAGCCACACTGTTGAACAGACCATCCCCTGGTGGAGAGTGGACCTGCTGGAGTCCTACATCGTCACCTCCATCATCGTCACCAACAGAGTGGACTGCTGCGAGGACAGGATCAACGGGGCAGAGATTTACGTAGGCAACTCTTTAAACAACGGTGCCGCAAACCCAGTGTGAGTGAACGTAATGACTACTTAAATGCAATGTTTCTTTTACAATACAAGGAAATTGTTTAGTAGAGGTAAGCCACCCAAATCCTGCAACAGCTCATCTTATGATCTATTACTTTATATTGCTGTATACCTGTCAAGCACCCCACCTATAAAACGAATGAATGCTTCCTCTCTCTCTTTTAGGGTTGGTGTGATTTCTCATATCCCAGCAGGCAGGTCTTTAAAAATCACTTTTACCAGACCTGTGGAGGGACGTTATGTGACTGTGGTGCTACCTGGTCCAAAAAGAATTCTTACACTCTGTGAAGTGGAAGTCTACGGGTACTGTGCTCCAACTGGTGAGAACTGAACATGAGGCTGAAGCCACACAAGATGTGATCTTCTATGTGATGCCACCGCCTCATTTTCTATTCAGCCGAGGTCACACCAGAGTTTGAACTGCATTCCTTTGAATTAAGAAAATAGATGCACACAACACTTCCTGTCACTAATAAATCTCTTCTTTGCAAAGTTGTATTTAATTGAGCGAAATTGAGTCTTAACTCTAACATGTAATATAGTGAAACTCACCAGTCCACCAATTTTCATTCAGAAAAGTTAAGATTTGCAAATTTGTCATACTGTGGATACTGACACAATTGAACATTGACACAATTACTACTGCTAGCTGCTGGTGCATCCTGTACGTTTTGCAGTGCTCATCCAAATTAAAAACAGGCATCTTTCCAACTCTCCATGACTTTTCCATGTGTTACTGCTGTATCTTCTGGAAAGCTGGAAAATGGCAACAATGTGCTAATAGTGAATTTTAGTTTCAAGACATACATAGACTTTGTTCTGCACAAAGCGTCAAGTAAAAGTAATGATCAGTTCTGTTGTTTGCAAATGTGTTCTTAATGCAGGAGAGAACTTGGCAATCCAAGGAAAAGCCACACAGTCGTCACTGCATGCTGCAGGCATGGCATATTATGCCATCGATGGGAATCGTGCCACCAACTGGAACCAGGCTTCTTGTACTTACACAAATCAAGACTTTAACCCCTGGTGGCGAGTGGACCTGGGCAAAACCCATAAAGTGTTTTCTGTCAACATAACCAACTACATAGATCCTAAATTACAACTTGTTGGGGCTGAGATCAGAATTGGAAATTCTCTTGAAAACAGTGGCAACAGCAATCCCAGGTAATTTAATGTCCATCAACTGAAATGCTACTATAACTAGAAGTTTGTGATTAATGGATATCTATCATTGGGTTTGTTTGTAAACACATCAATCCTCAAAACAAGTACTAAAGAATGAAGGTTTGTCATAACTTAGCAGTATATGTTTATCAAATTATTTAGTATCTTTTCGAGTTTGTTCGGGTTTCAAATGATCATTCGGTGAGTTAACAAAGTAATTTCTTCCTCTGCTAGGTGTGCTGTGATCTCAAGAATCTCTCCAGGTTTCACTGAAAACTTCCAGTGTAACGGGATGGATGGTCGGTACGTCAACATCGTCATTCCTGGAAGAAGCGAGTACCTGAGCCTGTGTGAGGTGGAGGTGTACGGCTCCAGACTGGATTAGGTACATGATGAATCAACACCTCAGTTCCAACAAACAAACTCAACATTATCACCTTAACGAAGGAAGGATTCACTTCAGGGTGGTTGTATTAGACTGCATTAGTTTTAGTTCGGTATACCAAATTAAAAAAGGCAACTGTTTGGATCTTCAAAGGTACCAGACAAAAACACAAGATGAGATTCAAACTACCTGTCCCAAAGTGTAGAGAACCATCCTATTATCAAATTTTAAATTCTGTTCTAACAACTGAGCGGGAAAAAAGATTTGATCGAAAACAATGCTTAAATAATCGGCAGACATTTTGGCGTTTCATAGGGGAAAAAGTAAAGGTGTTACATATAATACTAAAGCTATACTATGCACGAATAAATACTCATAAAAATTGATCGTTCTCAATCATCACTTACGACCCACTAGAAGTGTGGCGGTGTCTGTATCTGCAGAGACTCTGTCCTCTGCCTGTATTTCCTCTTCTTCTTATAGTGCAGTAACCGTGCAAAACATGCCTGTTCGCAACGGGCCGAATGCTTGGCCTTTGCTATCTCAGAAGAAAAGCTCCTAAAAAACAACACTCGACACTGCGCTTCTTTAGGTCCTCAGGAATACAACAGCCATGACAGTTGCGTCACACACCGAGTCACGACTATACTCAGAAACACAGATAAAACACACCAGCCATACCTGTATAATAACAATAATAATAATATGTATATTTGTATTGCATTTAACCTACAGTGACAATAATGTTGTATATGTAGGCCTACGTATGATTTTGTATGAACTTTGTACTTTTGTATTTGTTTGCATCATGATCTGTTTTTTAAAACTGTCGCAGATTAATTTGACTGAAGTGAAGATTTCAATTTCTAATTCTGAACTTGTCTTTGTTCTCTCACTGCCAGCGGATGAATATTCACCTTTCATGGAATAAATTAAAGCATAAAAAAAGCCTTCATTTGTTTCTTTTTCTTTTTTTGTTTTCATTGTACCTGTATTCATTCCACATTGAACCTTTTGTATTATCTCCTATTGAGCTTCAGATGTGCTGGGAGGTGTATTTTTAGAAGTACATTAGAAGTAGTTTGTGTGGAGCAACGTGTTTTGATTTGGTGATACGTAAAACTCCACTTAGAAAGCATACGACATAAGAACAAGGCTAAGTTTGAACTTTAGGAACCAGATGATGAAGCAGGACTCACTCACTTAGAGGCCTGTCTTGTGTCAATCAGTACAAATAGTGTATATTCCCAAACTCCCAAACAAAGTTACAGTTATTGAAATGACCTCAAAACTATTTTCACACAATGAACCATGGGTTTTGGGACACTTGGGAATCAAGTGCCCTGCTTTGCACAGTTAGTAATCATCCTTTGCCCTTTGTTTTAGGAAATTACTGAGCCTTTAAGAAAAAGAAACGATAATTTAGTTAAGATTTACATCTTTAATATCAACCTAAGGGTGTTTGTGCCTTAGTGTCACAGACTGGACTGATTTACCTCATGAAGAAATGAGTCTGGTGATCTTTATCTTTATAATCCACTTCAGAGAAGAAGAGACGGTGTAAACCTGCTCTCCCTCCTAGACTTGGATGGACGGACAAACTCTCTGCAGCCAGGAAGAGTCTGATATCAGCTGACATACAAGCGACTCCTACTCTCTCTTATGTGCATCATTTGAATCTGTCACAGCTGAACAAGCTCACAGCACGGAAAAACAAAGAAAGCAGGATAGTGTCGCCACAGGATGGCGCCCTCTTGACTCTCACACAGACACAGTAAATGCAACATGCTTTTATTCTTGCAATGTGTGAAGTACATAAGAAGAGCAATATGCTGTACAAATATTTTCAGGTTACATTATGACATTAGTTGAATCGGTACATGCACTTTTATTATGTGTCTTCCTTTTATAGGCTCCGATGTGTTTTGAAAAATGTGTAACATTAGAGAATATATTTATTTTGCTGATACGCTGACAGGTGGATCACACAAGACACAACTTCCCGGTGTGATATAACGTGTGCGCGTTGCATTCTGAGGAATGTAACATTGAAGTGTGAAAGCACAAGAGAAGAAGAGATAAGGCCCGTTATAATATGTGATAATAAAACTAGAGAAGCATTGAAAATGTGTTTGATTTCTGTACACACCGATGATGATTGACATGGATGAATATGAAAACTGATCGACCATGAACGGATTGGCTAAATTAACATGGTTGGAGATGTCTGCCTTCTCTCTAATATACTGGAACTAGATGGCACTCGGCTTGTGGTGCTCAAGCCCCAAAAAGTACATCTGAAAAACTCAGCAGTTTCTGTCTGTTTCCGGACACGGTTGGCGGGTGTAGTTTGGTAAAAAGAAAATTGTTCCTAAACAAAACTGGTCTGAGGATTATCTTGAGTAACCGATCATGATTTCTAGAAAAGAGACATCGGTGTCTAGTTTTTTAAATGTATAATTTTGGCGCTTTGAGCACCACAAGCCGAGTGTCATCTAGTTCTGTTACATTCAAGTGAAGGCAGACATCTCTACGGCCCATATGTCCAAAACTCTGTGGTGAACTGTCCCTTTAAGCTATGATCGCACCATGAGACTCAGATGAACATCACCAATGTAAAATGTCATTGTTTTACATTATGAGCCTTCACAGATCTAATCCAGTCTGGACCCGTACACCTCCACCTCACACAGGGTCAGGTACTCGCTTCTTCCGGGAATGGCAACGTTAATGTAGCGACCGTCCATCCCGTTACACTGGAAGTTTTCGGTGAAACCTCCAGGGATGCTTGAGATCACAGCACACCTAGCGGTAGAAGAAATAACTTTATCTCACCGAATGATCATTTTCATACTCCAATAAATTAATTTGAGAAATACAAGTCACTGCTACGTTTTGAAAAAAGAAACTCAATGACAAATATCCATTAATCCCAAACTTTTAGTTATATTGAGGATTGTAAACTATACCTGGAATTGTTGTTGCCATTGTTTTCAAGCGAATCTCCAATGAGGATCTCAGCTCCATTAAGTCGTTGTGGCAAAGAATCTATAACGTTGGTTATGTTGACAGAAAACACTTTATGGGTTTTGCCGAGGTCCAGTCGCCACCAGGGGTTAAAGTCGGCCTTTGTATGAGTACAAGAAGCCTGGTTCCAGTAGCTGGCATGATTCCCATCCATGGCGTTATTTGCGACACCTATAGAATACAGTGACGACTGTGTGGCTTTTCCTTGAAGTGCCAGGTTCTCTCCTGCAAACAAAACTTAAGCTTAAGCTTAAGTTCAGTCAAGTTCAGTCAATTTGCAAACAGCGCTGATATAGTTGTTCAACGTGAGGCTTTCTGCAGAACAAAGTTGCCTCAATCTATAAATATCTTGAAACTGATGTTCACAACTATTTGCACAGTGTTGCCATTTTCCAGCTTTCCAGAAGAAACAGCAGTAAAAGATGGAGAAGTCATGGAAAGTTGTGACGATGCCTGTTGTTTATTTGGATCGGCACTGCAAAACTTGAAGGACGCACCAGCAGCTAGCAGCAGTAAATGTTTCAATTGTATTGTATTTATGACGAATTTGCTAATCTTAACTTTTCAGAAAATGTTTCTTCTTATAATTTTCCAATTAAGATCGCCTATGAATACTTTTTAAGATGCTTATTCATTTTAAAACCAAATTGGCTGGCTGGTGAGTTTCACTATATTAAATGTTAGTGTTAAGACATATTTCCCTCAAATATATACAACTTTGCAAAAAAGAAGAGATTTATTAGTCACAGGAAGTGCATGCATCTGTTTTCTTCATTCAAAGGAATTCAGTTCAAACTCTGGTGTGACCTCGGCTGAATAGAAAATGAGGCGGTGGCATCACATAGAAAATCACATCTTGTGTGGCTTCAGCCTCATGTTCAGTTCTCACCAGTTGGAGCACGGTACCCGTAGACTTCCACTTCACAGAGTGTAAGAATTCTTTTTGTACCAGGTAGCAGCACAGTCACATAACGTCCCTCCACAGGTCTGGTAAAAGTGATATTTAAAGAGCTGCCTGCTGGGATATGAGAAATCACACCAACCCTAAAAGAGAGAGAGGAAGCATTCATTCGTTTTATAGGTGGGGTGCTTGACAGGTATACAGCAATATAAAGTAATAAATAATACAAACACTTAACCTGCTGGAGAAAGAGTTGAGACGGTATTTCACACAGCACATGCCACATGTTCAATGAGTGTTGCTATCATTTAGTGATGGACTAGATAACAGACCATACGATGAGCTGTTAACATCTGCTAAACAATTTCCTTAGTGAAACCCTGTATTTAGGAAGTCCTTCAGCATCATGAAGGACTCCTCTCACCCTGTTTTTGACCCGCTGCCTTCAGGGAGACGGCTGAGGAGTATCAAGTCACCCCCAGGTTCAAAATCAGCTTTTCTTCCACAGCTGTTTGTGTCCTGAACTTTCACACGTGAGGCACACAGAAAAATAATGGGCTGCTTTCCAGCAGACCAAGAAAAAATGCTAGAAGTCCGGATGAATGTTAAAGACTTCGAATGCACAGTGATGTCTGCTTTAGAAAGCAGGGTGATGGCGTGCTTGATAGTTACTGCTCCTATTGTTCTATGCTGGTTGTTATTGCTTTGTCTTAATTCATAGAATACTATATTTCATTCCTGCTTTTTGTTTTGCATGACCTGTAAGGAGAGGAATGACAATAAACTCAAACTTGACTTGAAACTTGATTACGTTCACTCACACTGGGTTTGCGGCACCGTTGTCTCGTAAAGAGTTGCCGATGTGAATCTCTGCCCCGTTGATCCTGTCCTCGCAGCAGTCCACTCTGTTGGTGACGATGACGAAGGTGACGATGTAGGACTCCAGCAGGTCCACTCTCCACCAGGGGTTGGTCTGTTTAACAGTGTGGCTGCAGGATCCAGCATCGTATTTAGATTCACGATTTCCATCGATAGCATTGTAAGCAGATGAATAAAAGTTTGGATCACGATTTGACTGGGTCGCTTTTCCACGCAAGGCCACATTTTCTGTTAATGAGATAGTGGAAATACACGTTAAAATAATTGATGGAGAACTGTTTGAAAATGACCAAACCTGCAATAACCTTTTCTTTGGCCAAAACACATTTTTGAGTGAAGAGAGACTTTAATGTTATAGAACAAAGATATCACATAAATAGCCGGATCATACTTACGATAGGTGTAAGCCGAGTACGTCCCCAGGAGGAGCAGCAAAGGCAGAACTGAACTGTGTTTCATTGTTCTGGTTGAGACATGCAAGAGAGTCAACAACAGAATTAAACTGAAGGAATAAACATATTCTTTAATACTGGTTGAAATTTACAACAATCTTTGTTCCAGATGTTCGATATCCAAAGTGCACAAACTGAATCAACTGTTATCAGAAGAATAACTGGTGGCAAAGAAGAAACTGTATTTAAAAGCATCATAATTCAACTTTAACATACCTTGACTTGCAGAATTGACTCAGAAGAAGACGAGGAGCCGCTGTTTATGTTATGTTGGTGAATTTGATTGAATGTGGACCACACAGGGATATTTATGTGCACCTCTTATCGTGGCACATTCTGTTGTTCATTGATGATTTACCACAGATGACTTGTCTTTGTCCTTGTATGTAGATAAGGCTCATTTCGGCTATTAGGCAGATCAGGGATCCGGAGCTTTTAACGATATTAAAGTGTGATTTAAAAAACTTGAGCTTAGCTAAAAACCCACATTACAGTTGTAATGATAATTTTTTACGTAGTATATATTTCTACTCAGTATATATTCATGCATAAGTAATTTTGCTCTGAACTTTGTTGAACTTCACCGTGTCTCTGTTGTGCAGAAGAAGAGTTCTCCCTTGCCTGTTCACATAGATAACTAACTGTGTTGTATGAGAATGTTCCAGCACCAAGGCCTTTGGGCCGCTTGTTTTGGTTGCTGGCTGTTTGTTTTTCATTGTTGTTCCTATCAGTCTGAGACCAAAATGTCTGTAACATTGGCCATCTTCCCCCACCTTCGCTCATTCTGTATAAAGAAAGCTTGTTCACTTTTTTCGAGGTTCTTCCTCACTGAGACTGTACGCATTCTGTTGGGATGATTGAACCTTCTCTGCGCAGAGAATAAATACTTAAAAGACAACCTGGTTTTTGGTATTATGTATTTCAGCATTAAAAGACTCACGCAAAGCGGGTATAGGAATATTTTCCAAATTACAGTAAATACTATTCCAGCACCGAGAGGTTAAAGGGTTTTAAAGAATAAGGCGGGGCAAATGTCAAATTTCCCTTTTAGTCCAGGCGATATGTGAAATTGTTCTTCACTTTTTCCTTAAAGCATGGAACTTGGTACACTTGTACAGTTTGGGGCACTAACTGTTTTCATGTCACAGTTTGATGTTTGCCTTCTCTCGAATATAAAGGCAATATATGGCACTCGGATTGTGCTGCTCAAATAAGCAGAAAATCCAATGAAAAGACCAAAATCAATAATCGTACTATTAAGTATTGTCTTTGTCATCAAAGCTTAATATACTTTATTCCTCTGTGTCTTAGTCTTCCAAAAATTATCAAACAGCCACATTGTTGCACTGATTAACAAGTTTCTTCATTATCATGAACACAAACACTGTAGTTTAGTTAGAAAAGCCCATCATCAACTGAAAGGATGGGGTACTTCAAACTACATTTTGACAAAATCTGGTTACAGGTTACATCACAAGATTAGTTAAATGTTGACTGCAACAATCTAAACATGCACTTTTATCATGCGTCTTCCTTTTATAGGCAACCTTTTGTTTTTAAAAAATGTGTCACGCGTACTTGCTGTTTACTGTAAATTCACGAATAAATCAGTTTGTACTTCCTGGTCAGATAAACACAGAGATGAAACAGTCAAATTAGAGAACATTCATGTTTGTAATTCACACGCAAGGTGGATGATATGAGACACAACTTCCTGGTTTGATTAGATAAGCATTATCAGGGATGTAATATCGATGCTGTAAAGGCAAACAAACAATGGTGTGAAAGGAAGGGAGAATAGGTCAATAATAATTGTCCAGAAATCCAATGAAAAGACAAAAAATGAACGATGAATTGATCCTAATAAGTATTGTCTTTGTAACCGATATATCTTATTCCTCTGTACAATACAGCTCCATTGTCCAAAAACTATTAAAAACACATCAATGAGCCACACTGTTGCACTGACTGACATTACCATGAACACAAACACTCTGCTTTTGAAAAGCACAGTATCAGCAGAAAGAATGTGGGTCTTAAAACTAGATTTTCATGAAGGAAAAGCTCCTCAAGATATGAAGCAATTTAAAAATTCATTTTAGTAAGTAGTAATTAGTTTCAATGGAGTCATTTACTAAATCAGATTCCACCATTGAAATCCACTTCTTATATGCAGTATGTATATATATATATATATATATATATAAGTAAACATACTTAATATTATTATATTACAGTTCTGCTACGCACTGTTGCTTTAATTATTACAAGTTGCTTTGGGTTGTATTATCAAAGAGGGAAGAAGCACATTGCGCAAAAAAATAAGTAAATCTGCAACTAAGCATTTTCAGCATTAACGGTCAAATCCTTCAGGTCAAAAGGACATAGAAAAAGGCTGACAACAGCTATTTTCTTCACATGGAAGTTAAAGAGCACATTGGGAAAGACCTCTCCAAAACCACACAAACACCTTTAAAGTAGGCAGAGGTCGTGAAGGATGTCCAGTAAGCAATGATAGAAAAAGTACTCATACGAGTTACTTCAGTAAAAGTAACAACACGACTCTGTGAAGAACACTCTGTTACAAGTAAAAGTCTTGCTTTTCATACAAATTAAGTGGAGTCAAAAGTGCAATATTTCCCTCTGAGGAGTAGTGTAGTAGAAGTATAAAGTAGTATAAAATGGGGAAAAATCATGTAAAGTACCTCAAAAATTTTAAGATCAGTACAAAGTCTTGAACCAATATCATCGGTAATGAATTGATGTGTGTGATCTTTGGTACACTTCTGTAGATGCACTTCTGAAATTGAGTCACGAGTTTCGGGAAGGGAAATACATGTGCATGGGAGTAAACCGATGGCATGTGATTGGATAAGAGTTGAAGATGAATATGATCTGATTTCTGATGATTGGTTGGATACGGTTTCACCGAGACGCATAGAAAGAGCACGGGAACTGTTTCGGTTTTAGGTGTTTGGAAGCTTTTGTCTTCTTCGTTGAATCATCCGACTGTTGGGGACTCCAGGTAACACTTTTCATTTCTTTATGCATCAGATCATCTTCCTGCATCAGTTTCAGAGTATCTTTAGCATGTCGATATGTACCTCTGGAGCACATGGAAGCAAATAATAGTTGTAATGGTTTTAACCATAATTGTGAAATGTAACTGAATATGAATGAGTTTCCCTCTGGATGAAGTTCTATCTAATCTTATTGTTGAAATGTAACACATTCAAGATTATTGTTGTAATCACTCCTCCAGAATTCCAATAGGACACATATTACACAAGTAATAATGAATAATAAGACGTGTCATTTAAAATAAATATGGTTTATAAATGATTCTCTCAACCAGAATAATGAAACTCAGCGTTTTGGTTCTCCTGCTCCTCCTGGAGACACGCTCAGCTTACACTTATGGTGAGTATGATCTGAGAGTATGTGTGACGTCTTTATTGTCAATCATCACCAGGAGGTGCACGTAGGTCTGTTTTGTAAGCAAGAAAAGTAACTAGTATATTTATAAAAATTAACTCTTTAACTGTCGGGAGTTTAGTTATTTCTCCAAAATCATTGGAGTTGTGGTGAAAGGAAGCAAGAATTTTTTTGGCTTAATTTTAGTTTTTTATATAGTTTTTATGTTTTTGAAATCGTACTTGTGTTCTTCATAAAAATGAATTTCCCTCCTCACATTAAACTGCATTGGCAGACCAACGTCCTCTTTTCTGCAAACTTGTCTGCAACAACTTCCTGCAGGATTTAGCAATGAGCAAAAAGTTGCCATGTGGCTCATCAGACTTAAGGAAACGCATGCAAAGAGACACAAACAAATCAACACATCTTTCCACCAATTCCACAACAATTAATCACAGAGAAACAAATTCATCAATTTGGCAACACATGCAAACACTACCAAATACACAAACGCACTATAGTTGACTACATAACAGTGAGCTAATGGTTTAAGTTTAAACCAAGAGTATATAATGTTGAAACACATGGTCTGTATCACACTAAGACATGGAGTAATACATTGTTAGACACAGATTTATGCTTAACAATTCACAAACGATCTTCCTTCATATCTCTTATGTGTTTTTCAACCGTCTCTCTCCCAGAGAACGTGGCGTTGCGTGGAAAGGCGACCCAGTCAGACCGTTGGCAGGACTCGTTTGGAGCTGCTTACAATGCTATTGATGGAAACCGTGAGGGTATTTACGCTTCGGGATCATGCAGCCACACTGACCAAGAGACCAACCCCTGGTGGAGAGTGGACCTGCTGGAGTCCTACATCGTCACCTCCGTCATCATCTCCAACAGAGTAGACTGCTGCGAGAACAGGCTCAACGGGGCAAAGATTCACATCGGCAACTCTTTAGAGAACAACGGTGCCGCAAACCCAGTGTAAGAAAATATATCCACAATCAAAAAAAACTTTTATTTTGCCTTTTGTCTTGTAAGTACGTCTGTGAATCATGCTAATTTTAACCTCCGGTAGGAACATTTGAAGAATGTTTCAATCTCTTTGTTGACATGGCTGGCAGGGGCGTTTCTAGGATTCAAAGAAAGGGGGGGCTTAGCCCCAAGGGGAGTGGCATGTTTGCACGCGGAGTGCGGGGCAATTTTTTTTGGGGCCCATTTGGGGCCGCGGATATCCATTGTTTCAGACAGTTCATAGATTGGTTCAATCAGAGAGAGTGTGATTTTGCTCTGTAGTTTTGCTTGCATTCAGTATATGATAACACAAGAGACAGAATTTGAGGGTCACAGTGAAATTTGACAACACAAATATGAACTTTTCTCAAATAAAGAATATCCGCGTCACTCCCAAATCCTAATTCTTAAAGGGACCGCACACAATGGATGGAGAATGGACCTGACAGTGTCAACTTTATGTCGTTAAGTATGATGACAGGCTGTTGGATTGTAATTTGAAGGGGGAGAAAACATACAAACCAGAACGCACGCACATATGTAGCATGTTAGAGCTATAAATAACTTGTCCATGTGAGAAACAATAGTTTAATGACATCACCAAAATAAAAATATTTATTTTTCTTTTTTTTTTAAAGCCAATAATGCCAAATTATTTGGGGGGGCTAAAGAACATTTGAGGGGGGCTTCAGCCCCCCTAAAATAGGCCTAACGACGCCCCTGATGGCCGGGCTGGTTTTGCATGCTTTTCGTGCATGTTCATGTTAGTGCATGTGAGCGTGCCCCCACTGGCTGGTTCATGGTAACGCGGCAGTGTAGCGCCCACTTTCCGGTTCCCCCTCGCGTAAACACTGTTTGCGCTGTTAGCTGCAAGCTGCAGGCTCAGCTGTCGCCATGTGGAGGCGATAGATATGTGGCACCGTCAGATGTTATTTCCACAAATATGTACAGTATATAAATGTTAATTATTTTTCTAAGTATCATTATGCTAATATGTGAGGAGAATTCAACTTTCAAGAATGAAACAAGCTTGTTTCTTTCATCTTCATGTTAAAGGACTACAGGTATTATAAAATGTGATTCATGTGTTGTTTTCTCTCCCTCTCTCTGTTAGGGCTGGTAAAATTACTAGAACGGATCCAGGCGAATCAGTTACTCTGACTTTCACTGAACGTGTGGAGGGACGTTACGTGACTGTGGTTGTACCGGGTTCACAGAAATACCTCACACTCTGTGAAGTGGAAGTCTACGGGTACCGGGCCCCGACTGGTGAGCATTTGAGCTATTACATGAATTAGTATGCAGTGACATCGCATCTATAAACTGTGGTGTCAGCCAGTAGATAAAACATAAAATATGAAAACTGTTTTTATATTATTAATGTTATTCACATTGTATGCTTATACTACATTTGCATTAAAAATAATCATATTGTAGCGACCCTCGATAAGGAAAGCTACGAGATGTTATCTTGCTTGTTGCACTTTATGCACGCTACTGTGGGCCGCAGCCTACGCCAAACAACAGTCAACACTGCTACACGTTCTCTTAACATGCTCGACAAAGCGCTCCCGGTCATAGACGAACTCTACACAAGCTAGCAGGACAACAGCAAAAACATCCCACCTCACTCTCTCTGCCAATCCCAGGTACCCTCACTTGTGCCACCCATCCCCATAGGTAGCTAGGATGATTGACAGGTTCAACAGCTACACGTGTCATGAGACCTTCACTGACCTCCTGAACTCAGTAAATGCAATAACCATTACTCTTATCTCAAACAACTTCTGTCAACCTGTTATAACATAACATGACAGGTTAACATTACAAGTCACCCAGTCCGTTACACTACCCCCCCCCCCCCCCCCCCCCCCCCCCACACCTCAAAGTTCTTTGCAAAACAAAGTCTCTCAGGTGGCCAGGGGAAGTGTGGGGGGAAGGGGAAGTGGTTGAGAGGGAGTTGGGACCAAAGGCAGGGAATGGGGAGGGGGAGGGAGGGTCTGGGCCAGGGACACCAAGGGGGTCTGTGAAGGGGGTCATCTGTTTTTGTCCTATATTATGTCGGCAAATTCATTCACATTTTCTTGATGAGTCATTGGAGATATTAAATTGAACATTGCAAGAAAAACAAAAACAGCATCAGAAGTCACACATGTATGTGCATTTTCTTTTGCAGGAGAGAACCTGGCCCTCGGAGGAAAAGCCTCACAGTCGTCACTGTATGAGTTTGGCCCTGCATATAACGCCATAGATGGGAATCCTAGCAGCAAGTGGGAGCACGGCTCCTGCACTCACACAATGAACGACATCAACCCCTGGTGGCGACTGGATCTGCGCAAAACCCACAAAGTGTTTTCTGTCAAGATAACCACCCGAGTGGAAGACTCGGACCGACTCAATGGAGCCGAGATCCACATTGGAGATTCCCTTGACAACTTCGGCAACAACAACCCCAGGTAGTTTACAACCTGTTAGTTTAAAATGCATGGTTTCTTCACTTACATCTTGAGATACATTTGTATTTTCTTTACAGCTGCTCTTTGTTACAGACTGAAAGATCTCAGCTGCTACTGGATGGATTGCTGAGACATTTTGCTCAGACGTTAACTTCTAAAGTACCGATAGCAGAACCTCCAGACCTTATCAATACTCACTTTAGAACCGGGGACCATTTAGAACCAAGTTTCGGAGGGCACCTCTTATTACAATGGATGAAATGACTATGCATAGTGAAAGTGATTAATTCACTGATAACTGTCTGTTTTTAAAGGTGATAATATCTAAGTATTGATTTTACTTTGTTGTACTGCCCCCATGTGGCCAAAAAATGAAGTATTTTAGAAAGAAACCTCTGGTATCACAAAATAAACTTGAGACCATCACTTACAAAACATAATCGGCTTCGCTCCAAGCTACACCTCTGACCTAGCAAGCCCTTTACTTTACATTAGTAAAGTACATTTACATTACTGCTTTGTGCTCTTTGTTAAAGCGACAGAGACCAACCTTTTTTGAAGTCAACAACGTCATTTCTGTTTCTTCTGCCAGGTGTGCTGTGATCACAAGTATCCCATCAGGTGGTGTCGAAGAGTTCCAGTGTAATGGGATGGACGGTCGTTATGTCAACATATTCATCCCGAGAGAAGAGTTTCTGAGTCTGTGTGAGGTGGAGGTGTATGGCTCTCGCCTGGATTAGGGATGAAGAAGTTCACAATAATCAAAAAGCACTTCTTTTGTAAACTATGACAGTGATACCATTGTGAGATTTATTTATTGCACTACTTGGTGCGTAAGTTTAAATTTCTACTGCTGTTGAGTTGTTTTTTACCAAACCTTTTGTTTACTGTCACTACCTGCTGCATGATAAAACTGTCTGTCATCAACACTGAAATACAATTAAATCATTAACACGGCCTCCTGTTTTCCCTAAGTTTCAGTCCTGGGGGCAGACAGACTTGCAGGTTTGCCTTGGACCAGCCGCTAGATATGATGCTGTAGGCCTAGACTACTGGGGGACTTCATAGGATACACTGAGCTCCTCTCTGCTCTTCTCTACCTCCTTCTGTATGAATTTGTGTCCCATTAATGCACATTACTAACTTTGCTTCTTCGCCATGGATCGTGGTTACACCTGGGCAGTGGTCGTACCTCCTGCCATGGCCCTGCTGACGCCTACTGCTACTATCATTATTATTATTATTAGTCACATTTCTGTTACTATTACTGATACCATCAATGCTGATTTTATCATTAATACTGTATTATATCCACTGCTGCTGTTATTCTTTTTCCATCATCCTGCTTACTACTCTGATTATATGAGGCATTTACTGTATGTCATATGCATTGAATGTGTAACTGTTATTGGAGTGACTGTTGCTTCCCAATAAAAAAGTCACTACGGTTGCTGAAATGTTTGTTCTGACGCGTGCCATAAATAACGAAGTCCAGTTTCCAATATAGGCATTTTATTTCTCACATAAACAGAGTTCCACCACTTTCTCTTCAGTTATCCATTTTCTCCATAAATCAATAAATCATAACATTTACATTCGTTAAATGTGCACGGTCAAAAACTGTTTGCTTCTGCCTATTAGCAACAACCTGTGTCCAATGACCCCACGGATTATATTACCTGTGGCTGGATTCACACCGGCACTACGCCCCCATGTAGTGGGAGGTTGCACAAAAGCAAAAACAACAAAATGGCTCTTACACAGAGCATTTGAGATGTTGAAACAGAGAGACATTAAAGTGATGCTGGCAAAAAATTATAAGTTTCTGGGAATAAGCACATTGCGCAAAAAAATAAATAAATATGCAAATAAGCATTTTCAGCATTAAGGGATAGTATTGTTCAGGTCAAAAGCACATAGAAAAAGGCTGACAACAGCTATTTTCCCTCAGATGGCAGTTAAAGAGCACATTGGGAAAGACCTCTCCAAAACCACACAAACACCTTTAAAGTATCATACAGTGAAGTCTTGAGTAAGGAGCATCAGGCTGGACTGACCTCTTTGCTTCTCTGAACTGAAGTTGTTGGTTATATCTCCGTATTATACTTCACCAGTTTATGAAGTGCTGATTATTTATCCATTCTCAACCAATCCACCTGCTGTAATGGTCCATTTTAATCAAGCCATGGTCTGCAGAGGTCGTGAAGGATGTCCAGTAAGCAATGATAAAAAAAGTACTCATACGAGTTACTTCGGTAAAAGTAGCAACACCACTCTGTGAAAAACACTCTGTTACAAGTAAAAGTCTTGCATTCAAAATGTTACTTAAATATAAGAACTAAAGTACTAAAAGCAAATGTAATTAAAGTATCAAAAGTACACGTTAGGCAGAGTAGCCCCTTTGAGAGTGTTATATTATTATTATTATATAGAATATTATTACAGATAAGTAGTAGTTTAATACCTCAGCTGGTTGAGGTGGGGCTATTTTATTACTACATTATACACTGATGGATGGTTTAATCTATAATAATACATCATACTTCATCAATTGATCACGTTTTGATTGTGAAATCATAATCTGCAAAGTAACTTTAGTTTTCATACAAATTAAGTGGAGTCAAAAGTGCAATATTTCCCTCTGAGGAGTAGTGTAGTAGAAGTATAAAGTAGTATAAAATGGGAAAAAAATCATGTAAAGTACCTCAAAATTGTAAGAACAGTACAAAGTCTTGAACCAATATCATCGGTAATGAATTGATGTGTGTTGTTGTGGAAGTAGTGTACACAAGGAGATGTTTACAACGAATCCAAAGTGTGAGAGTTCATGGTTGACACCTTTGGCAGGTTGACTGATATTTGTCTGGTCTGGGCAAAGTTCTGTTTATCTTTTAACCATGTTCATACGTGGTGGGTATAACGCAACAGTTTATATGAGGTCTCGTACGGTTATTCTACAACAGTGTGATCTTTGGCACACTTCTGTAGATGTACTTCTGAAATTGAGTCACGAGTTTACGAGTTGTTTGTGGTTCAACCCACTGGTTTGATTGGTATAAAAGTAATCTGTGAAAAGTAATACATCGGATTTGTTTGGATTTGCTGAACTCGTATGTTGGCGTGTGCTTATTAAAACACTTCCCGCTGGGTTGCAACTTCAATTCGCCGTCTCTTCTCGTCATTTTGCCACAACATAATTGCCGCCCCAACGTGTGTTCGAGTCGAAGCCGAGGCATCTTCCACTTCTTCAGCCAACAGACAACCACGCTTAGAGGCCACGTATCAGGTAGGAGATTTTCATATCTCACCATAGCTTTATTTCTGTATGGCGTGATTCTCGCTTGTGTGATAGGGTGGGAGTGTCTGGGCTCCCCTCAACGGAATCCACGCTCTTTGGCGGAGGAAGAGAGAGGCAGATTGGTGTTAGCAGATAAAAGTTGAAATGTTGAAATGATTCAATTTGATCTCCAGCTGTAAAAAGAGAGCTCTCTGTAGAAGAGGCGTGCGCAGCACTGTGTTTCCTGGACGCCTGGATGTGGCCGTAAGCAAAAACTCGGAGCGCACCGTGAATCTCTCAAGCTCAAGAGACTGTTGTGCGCTGATGATAAGCGACTGTTGTGCGCTGATGATAAG